TTTGTTTATGTTCTCTACAAAATTGAGTCACCAATGAGGATATATGAACATGGAAATGTATTCATTTACACTGAGCCTTAGCAATTATAAATGAAATATAATGCCAAATAGAAGATAGAGTTATTGTGTCATCTAAGTACATGAAGTGATTGTGAAAATATTGAATGAGCTTCCAAGGGTGTGAACTTTTTCAGAACTCTATATAACCAGATGAGATTACAATAGATTTTCTGGATGTTGAAATCAGGATGGAACTGACTTGCTAAATTATGAGGAATTTTAAGGATAGAAATAATTTCATTAAGTTAAAAAAACATTGAAAACTTGCTTTAAAGAGGAAAAGTGAATTAGCTTTGAAACTAGAGGCTGATTTGACTTAATATTATTATTCACTCATTAGGGATCAGTGATCAGAGTGGTTCCATTTATTTCCATGATGAAGTCAGCTCGCCCTGGGAGGAACTGTGACTGAGGTGCCCATACTTTTCCCCATTTTTATGTAAGGAGAACATATTGATAGTGAGGGTGAGTAGGTCGGCGGGTAGATTGTGGTTGCTGATGCAGATTGGGGTCAGATTCATTGGGTTTAGAGCAATGCCTTCCCACTTCCTAATTGTGCCACCTGCTTGTATCTCAGCTAATAGTTCCATCAGCCTCTTGGAAGGATTACGTGAGCACCTATCTACACAACTCTTAGCATGTGGTCTGGCCCATAGTAAATATACAAATATTAGATACTATGTTTGTTATCAAGATGATAATAAAAGGATTGATTTTTCATTCCACTGTATGATTTGTTGCATGGCAGGAGATAATTGAAATTGTTACCTAGGCATCTTTCAAATCTGTTAGGTTTGTTAGCCCCTTACCCAGAAAAGGAGGCAGGGATTTATTGATTCATGTATATTTCAGCACATGTTTTGGAGTTAGTTGTTAACCTGTTATTTAGTTGTATTAGTGTGGCTGTGATAGGATTTGAAAAAAACATGCGATTGTTATTGTTTATTGTTAAGATGAATTAAGAAAGAGGAGAGAGTTAGGTACTGGTGGTCCACATTTGTAATCCCAGCTACTTAGGAGACTGAGACTGGGACAGTTCATGCCCAGCTAGGCATCTCAACCAGTAGCTGGGTGTGGTGGTTCACACCTGTCATCCAACAAGGCTGGGATGACATCATAAATCATAAGTAGAAGGATCACAGTTCAGGTTAACCTGGGGAAAAAGTGAGACCCTATCTCCAAAATAACCAAAGGAGGCAAGGAGGGCTGGAAGCTGGAAGGGTTGCTTAAGAGATAGAATGCCTGCCTAGCAAGCATGAAGCCCTGGATTAAAACCTCAATACTGCCAGAAGTATTTTTTTATGCAAAATCCTAACTTGTCTGTAATCTGATTCTGTTGCTTTTTCTATAGTCCTCACAGGATGTTAAGGTGAATCACCTGGCAGGCATGCTTGCATTATAAACCTTTAAGGATCGGCTGTCAGAGTGCCTCAACATTTGGTGTAGTGAATTTTGAACCACTCCTCATCTGTTTCTTACATCACTATTTTAACATAAATGGGCATGGAGCTAGGTTGTCTCATGACCTACAGCCAAAAGGGAAAATGATACATGCCCAACTGAACATGCCTTGCAGGGAAAGAGAACAAAACAATACCAGCAGATACCTTTGGCCTAGGAAAGGAAACCCTGTATAAAAGTTAAACTGTTGAATATTGACTGGCCAGTTCCTATTCCAACTGTGAAAACTGGCCCACAGTCAGGAGGGAGAGGAAAAGCATTGTGGGGGTGGAGGGGCATGTTGTAGAAGTTGACCTAGGAAGTTGTATGCACTTTTGAGTTACTGTCACTGTAGAGCAGTCCCTTCTTGCTGCACATGCTATTCTGAATATTTTGAGATGTTGGGAACAATCACCCTGTGTTTACATGGTTTTAGACTAGGCCAGCTGGGTAATGTTACCAAATGTTCTCTGGCAAATAGGAATATCCAGGGCACCATTCTCATTCAGGGTGCGTGGAATTGGGTCAACAGCCAACTAGCACATCCTGTGATAAATTTTGCATTAATTGATGAAATTCACTCATAGGAAATAAATAACTCATACACTATATATGCATGTGCATAAATATGCATATATACCCCAACTTATAATTCTGTATATTGATATAATACCAAAATGTTTGTTACAACATAACTACACAAAGAGTAACCTGACATCAACATTGATGACTGTATATTTTTATTTACTTCTTGGGAATCAGTTGAACTAATGATTGCACAGCACATTTATTTTGATTAAGATCATAGCAAGATATGTTAGACAGAAATTTTAAATTATTAGATCCTATTACATATTTTGCAGTCCATAGTCACCTGAGAGTGTATGTATCTGATGTTAGGTTAATGAGATAAATCTATCAGCATTTTGTTCCAAGAACTCATCTTCAATGCAGTATAAAAATCCTGTGCACTGTAAAAATCCCGTACAGGTTCCTGGATGATTGGAACATGCCGGTGGCACTCTGTTGCTGTTTACACCATGCAAGGTTAGAATCATGAACACAGCGATTAATGTGCCACACGTATATATGCCTGAAACTTACCGCCACTAATTATCAATTACCGCACTAATTGAAGGAGTTTAACCACTCAGGCTTGTTTCCCTGGCTGTGAACATTGTTACTTACGTTATTTATTTATTGTGGCTGTTGCTATAAATGATCCTGGAAAATCATAGAGGTAGAATTATTTCCAGGGAAAACTCACTTGTTTTTTTTATTGTATTTTCTTTACTTTGACATGAAATTAAAATGTACATCCTGATGTTTAACACATGTAAAATTATTCAAGATGAATGGTGAAAATTGTGAAAACTATCATGAAAACATAGTGGTATTTAATTGTACTAAATTGAACATGGACCCAGCCAGCTTTCCATGATTTATCAGTTTTTAACTTCAAAGACTCTGGTTGGCTTGCATTTTCTAAACTAATGAGTTTATCAAATCTAGAGAGGAAAGTGGTTAAAGTATATCAGCTGTAAATTGGTACAAAGCACTAAAAGGGGCATTAGCCTCTAATCAGATTCTAACAGTTCATTAAACCTGCCTTTCTAGAACAGCTCTTTGTCTTTTCTCCTGCTTTCCTTAGGCCTCCCTTATGAGGCATCTTCTTCCCTTTTTATCTGGGCAAGACCTCCTCCAGGATGGGAAGCAATATCAACTCATCCTTCTTTGTCTACTAACCAAACAGCCTCTGGATGCTTTGTTAAGGGGGATAGCTCAAGCCATTGTGAGAGGCTGGGGAATAACAGTGGAAGCCCTTTCTGAGACTGGCAGCCAATGGCAAACCAAGCTGGCTGCTTCCAGCCCTGGGAGCAGGGACAAGTTAGGGTTTGAGAACCATACCCCATGTATAAATAACCACAGGCCTACATGAAAGGATTTTAAGTTTGTAACAGATAAGCTGAGCCTACCAGCAGTAGCACAGTTCCTTAAGCCCTAAAGTGTTAGGGTATAACCCCTACCCCAGATATGGACAAGTCAAGAGCAAAATCTGACAAAAATTGTTATTATTCCAATTTTGAAAAGATTGCATATTTCTAAGGAAAGATTATGACAGTAATTTTTTTCTTTTTTATTACCAAACAGTCTACATGGTGTGGACTGTCTATCTGCTCAATAGTTAACTTTGTTAAATTTGCTTTTTCTTTTTGTCGATCTCTGAGAACAAATATTTGTGTTAGGAGGCTCTATAAATTTTAACTTCTTAGAGTAGTTTTCTTAAAGAGTAAAAAATTTGAGAAATAATTAGAGCTTCGCTGTACTGCTCTCTGTTGGTATTATTTGGAAATAAAACATTTGTGATTTTTTGAAATAAGAGTTTTTATTTAGCTATTGCATGAAAAGTAGATAAATGAACGGTGAAAACATCGAGGTTTAGAAATTACCTTTTAACTTTTGTCAACCCGAAGGACAAATATTTAGGAATTTTTTAAATGTATAATACAACCCCTTTAGTGTCGCAGTTACATTCTGTAATTGAGCAAAAATAACTCTTCTAAAAACCCAGTCAAATTTAGTCATATCAGTTTCCTAGTTAATACATGAGATTACAGTTGGCATTCTACACACGTTTTAAAATGAACCTGTGGGCCTTAAGGGAGCACTGAAGTGTGATTTTCTGATTGCCTATATAGCCTGCTGACATCAGAAAATTCCTAATGCAGTGAAAATTAGTAGAAAATAATCTTGACTTATTATAAATATTGTTTGAAATTCTATTGAGTCACAATATAAATAAGTTTTTCTTTTCAGACATGGTAAATTGATCCAAACATATGGTAAATTGATCCAAACATATAAGAGAACAACAACAAAATAATGTGCCTTAGGTGTGACTTCTTAAGAATTCACTCTTAATGTAAAACTTATCTAGGTTGTTTTTAAAATAGTTTGGGAGATTGATATGTAGAAATTTTTATTTGGCCATAATTGCCATGACATAAAAATTAAATGAGTCTAGAATTATATTATCTTGCTCTTAAATTATTTATCCTTTGAATGTATATAGATATATATATATATATAAATTATTTTTATCTGATTTTCTTCTTTATGGATGTCTACATACAGCACAACCTTTGAAACCAAGGAAGAGAGAAGCTTGCTTTGTATTTCCTTCCACTGTTGAGAAAGTGTGATAAATTGTCCCACTCCCATATAAATTAATGTAAGGTTTCCACACTCCAGTTTATTACCATCTGACCTCCAACCCAGGAGTCAGAGAATCAGACTGGTTAATTCAACTTCTTGGTCATTATCTCAAATGAAAGTTCAGATTGGGGAGATAATTGGTTATGCTGATATTTTCATTTAATTATACTTCAATGCTAAAGAATTAGACTAACAGTAGAAAAGGTACTGCAATGCAAGAAGACTACCAGGTGTCCTCCTTTGATGCTTTCTAGTTCAATCTTTCTCTCTTTTTTTATTCTCAGAATATCAACACCTTTGAGAACAGAATGTTAATGCTTGATGGGATGCCGGCAGTCAGAGTCAAAACAGAGCTTTTGGAATCAGAACAAGGGGTAAGCAAAAATTTCCAGTGGCCCCTCCCCCCTTATGACAGTGTCACTCATTTCTAGAGCATTCTGAGGTTTGCCAAACATTTCTGTTTTTTCCCTGCCTAACTTTTCTCTCAAGTAAAAACTCATAGAAGATTGTGGTTGACTCTTACCCAGGTACACCCTCAAGTATCACTCTCTTGGAAGAGAGAATATTCTGAAGCTAGGAAAGACTGATGACCTTTTAAGAACTGTATGTCTGTATTTATATTTGTGAATGTTTCGAAAGCTACTAAAAATCCAAAACAAAGAGAAAAGTACTAAAATAAGATGGAAATGTGAACTTCAGTGTCCAGATCAAGTTAGGAACACCAGAGCACAGATATGCAAATGTTATTGTTGGTTGGATGGATTTCTCTTTTGACATTTGTATTGCCCCCGCCCCTGCCCTTTTTTTTTTTTTTGCCATTCCCTGAGGACTAGGGGATGGCTGAGGAAATTGAGACCAGTGAATCTGACAAGTACCTATAAGTAAAAGAAAGATTATTTATCAGCCAAATGTATGAATTAATTTATGGACTCTAAAAATATAATAAACTATGGCCACAGATTTTATTTTAAAGGACATAGGGCATTTAATAATTATTAAAATTTATAGCTTCTGTGATTAAAAGCACAAGGTCAGTGTAATTGGTCACAGCATTGGCTCACCACATTATTTAAAGAAGTCACTGCTCATGTGTTCAGTGCACATTGACTACTTATTTTACTAAACCACCTCCACTGCAGCAGCACAGATATTGACAAAAAGACATGAATATATTTATACATATATTCTTTACCTTATTTCCATTTCTCTTACTAAAAAGGTGAATCTAAAAATTATCATTGTTTTGTTCTTGAACAATTAAAAGAAAATCTGAATATAGATAATATCTTACCAATATAGCATGAAAGTCATTGTGGTTAAGCTCACCTGTGATCTTCACACCCCTCCTCAAGAATTAGGGTACAGGTTATTAAAAGGATTTTGTCACGATACCTGAGGCTGTGGATCCAGATGGTAGCAGTTAAAGGGTCTCCTCCATGGTGCCTGGATTCCTCAGCAGTGTGTAGCATCTCAATATAATTTCTCCTTCTGTGTACAAAACAGATTCCCATTTTGGTAGAAGATGTCATCTCACCTTTATATTGATCGCTGATTGTTGTATATCTGAAATGCAGTTTGTAACATATATCAGCCAGTAACACTCCTGCATTGTTCGGTACTTGTATAATGACCAACTCCTAAAGATTCAGCCCAGCACTAAGGCAGTAGAGCAGCATGAAAGAAGAAATGACATGGCGGTCACTGACATTATTTATCCGTAGACAACATTCAGAAAAAGTCATGTGTTCATCTGGATTTTCTAGCCAGACTTTTCAGGTTAAGCGTAATATATCCTCCAAAGCTATCTAGATAGCTTTACCCTTGATTAATTAACCTAACCACAGGAAGAATTTGTTCTCTTTCTTTGGTGTTCTGTTTTCTCAATTCATTTCATAAAACTGACATGCATTGTCATGAGTTTAATAAAATTAATGCATAATCCATTTGGATCACAACTTCTCATTCAGAGAAGATAGCCTTTTATTGCTGATGGAAGAGGAAGTGAAAAAGCAGTCTGTATTTAACAATATTACTTTTATTTCACAATATTTTCTTCAACCGAAACAGCAGTACATCCATTCATACTGGTCATGTTGGAGGAAGGCAAAAAATACAGAAAGTCTACAGCCAGAAACTATGACTTGGGCCGGTGGTTAAAGCCTCCTGGCAAAGCCTCCTGGCATTGCTGTCAGCAGTCTGGTGATCTTTAATAATATCCTAGAATGCCTTCCCCTTCACTGTCATTTTTCAGTTTCAAGGTAAGATTTGCATGAAAAATTTACGTGTTCAAAAAATAAAAACCAGTACTTCAGAGGCTTTACAGCGAGTTGGAATCTTATATCACATTGTTTACAGAAAGTGCTTTTGTTGTCCTTAGTTAGAAAGGAAACATTTGTGGGTTCCTAAGTATTACTTCATACCTGTTCATTACTATCGATTTTCTTCTTTGTGAATGGAGTGAATGTTAGTATTTTAACTCCATTTAAGTTGTGCATATTAGAGAGACATAGAAACTTTTAAGAGTTTTTATTTACTTCTTAAATATATGACAGATATAATTTCATTTTCTTTTACGGTAAAGCTTGAAGAAAAGCAACCTGCAGTGTTTAATGAAATGAGTCATGACTTAACTCTTTATGGATACAATAATTTATAGAATTTTAAATTTCCTTAAAATAAAAAATAAAAAAACTTGGAACTTGGAGTTTTCATTGGAGGCAGTAGGGTAGGTAGTAAATACTATGTAATTCCAGAATCAAAGACCTATTTTTAGATAAGGATTACTAGAATTGTGAAGATTTCATAACTCTTCAGTTACAATTAAAGGCTAGTTGAGGTTTAATTCTTCATAAGAAAATGTAGAAATGTTATGAAATTTAAATAAATAATCTTACGTGATTATGGGCTTTGGTAAAAGATGGTATGTGTTGTAGACACAATGAACAAAAAGTTATAGATGCCACCAGTGTTACAAAAGTCAGTAAGAAAGCCTGAAGTTCATATATTGGTTGAATTTATAACCACTCTGCCAAAATAAGATTTCAAACACTGTTTCAAGACACAGACATGAACCTTAAGTATTTGGGAAAGAACATTGGCATTTTTTTTCCCCTGCTGCAAGCAGTGTTTTAAAGATATCCTGCCCTACCAGGACCTTCTGTTTCCATGCACCACGAAGGCATATGTTTGTTCTCTTCTGCTGGATATAAATAGTCCCTCGTGTCTTCTGCTGTCAGCTGGTCTGTGCCTCACTCCTGCCCCTCCATGGAATTCAGTAGCTGATGAGCCAGTTTCAGAGCTTAAAGGAAGACTGTGGACCAGGCCAGACCAGGTCTCTGAAAAGTTCTGGCTGCCTTGACCCAGTTTTATGATGTGTGAATGTGGTCATGTCTCTTCCAACAGACTGTAAGCTCTTAGAGGGCAAGGGCTATTTCTTTACATTTCTTCCTTTGTATTTCTTGTAGTCCCTGGTACATGCACAGTGACTGTATGATTTATTCAACTGTCCATGCATCATAACTGACCTGGTGAAAAATACAAAACCAGTCATCAGTTAGCTATAAACCTGCTGTATCTAACTCATAGCGTGATTGTGAACGTGAAAATCAAATGCAAATACTGGAACCATACATTCTCATTGGTGGCAGAAGTCTTGTACTGTGACCAAGTGAACTGAACAGTATGGCGACATTTGGCACCAACTCTAAGTGCTTTCTGTTTAGAGTTCTATGACTTGTGTTTTGAGTTACATTTTTAGTTTTTAGATATCTCTGTAGATTATCACTGCAGTCTTCTGAATGTGACTTCAGTTTTCTTTAAGCTCATCAGTCATATAGCTCATGCTGCTAAACAGTTTGTAGGAAGGCCATGTGCTCTTAAGATATACTTCAGGAGCACAGCAAGGAGTGCTAGTGTGACTTTGCCTGTGACCTTTGGTGTATGTGCCCTGCTGTTACAAGAGCTTCCTAAATGCACTCAGCCTTTGAGTGTTGTAAAATGTTACTAAGCAAAGGACTACAGCAGGAAGAAGAGTAGGGGACTAGTACACCCAGAGAAGTGGAGGAATGTTGAAAAAGGGCACCGCCTCAAAGACATATGTGTGATTGTATTCTTGACCTTGAGGTTTACCAATGGAAGGACACTTGGAAATTCCTTCGAGTCTCCAGGCCTCTCTGTCATCTGTACAGTTTGGGTGCTGGGGATGAGAACTTCCTGCTCAGGTTTAGTCTGCAAGGAGTGAGAGAAAGTCTCCTTTTTCCTTTCCTTTCCCTTTCCCTTTCCCCTTCCCCCCTTCCGCTCTTTTCTCCTTCCCACCTTTCCCTTCCTGGTGGTATTGGGGTTTGAATTCAGGACTTTGTGCTCGCTGGTCAGTTGCTCTACCACTTGAGTCACACCTCCAGCCTGACATCTAAGGATGTGTTCAGGAGTCATTCTGCAGTGAGGTACTTAGACCTGGAAGAAGAAAGGCCAAGACTTTCATGTGCCACAGACTTGAGTTCAGATGCTTGTTCAGCCAGGTACCAGCTGTGAGGATCTTCTTACCCTGTCAACCCAGTTGTCCTCAGCTGGGAAGTGCAGCCAACCCCTCTGCCTCACAGGAGCCTGCCACACATGGCAGATGGGGATTAAACATTTTCCCCTTGAAGAAAAACAGGAAGAAACCATCCTGTTTTGTTGCTTTTATTTCTGTTGCTGGACTTTTCATGAGCTATTTAGTACACGTGACAGAGTCTATATTACTCTGTAATTCTACAGGTAGTTTTAAGGTAATCTTATATTGAAAATCATTTCTTTGATTTTTTTTTTTGTTGTTGTTGGTTCTGGGGAATTAATTCAGGGTCTTGGGCTTGGCCAGTGCTCTAAGACTTGAATGACACCCTAGGATGTTTTTGCTTTAGCTATTTTTCGGTCGGGTGGTATCTGCAACACCTCTCCCCAGTCTCTGACCTTAGCTCCCATGTATGTCTCCTCTGTAGCTGGGTGTGTACCACCACTCCTGCCTTGTTCTTCTTTTTTTTGGAGAGGGACAGTACCAAGGGTTAACCTCAGAGCTTCACAGCTGGCTTGTCCTTGGAGATAGAGTCTCGCTAACTTATTTTTGTCTGGACTGGCCTTGAATCAAGATATGCTCTCCACCTCCCAAGTAGCTGGGATTATAGTTGTGAACCACTGTGCCCCCACCTTTAATTTTGAGTTTTATTGAAGTGTATCTTCTGATTCACATACCTGAAAAATACTTAAGTATTTACAGATGAATGTTAATGTGTATTTTTTGCTGCAAGATAAAATGGGTAGGGAGAATATATATGGTCAGAGATGAAACAAGTGGCCATGATTGTGCCATTATTAAAGAATGGTGATGAATGAAAAAGGA